GATGGACACGCATGTCAAAATTATTTATATCATATAATTTGTGAAATAAACAGATTTGTGGTACTTATTCGTATTTTATTGAATTCCCTTTCACAGAGTCGATCTGAGCAGGATGCAAGAGGTGTATTTGCACCCTTCTGTCGTGAGAGAAACTAATAATACGAGATTATTACTTCTCGTGTTTTAGAACAGCCCCTTTGTTCCCACATTAAACTCAAAAACAAAAAATTGGAGAACTTATATAGTCAAAAAACTGCTGTACCACCTAGGGGGTGGCACCAACTAAAAAGATATATTTCCTGAGGAGGCTGAAGTGGTGAGACTCATGAAAACTCTGCATGTCGAAGTAGAGTATGCACGATGATTAATCGGGAGGTAAAGGCTTAACTACAAACGTAAAAAAAAATCACCAAATTATTGTTCAAGGAGTATGTACCTAATACATTTCGGGCTTGTTTAAAATTCTCATATCATAGATGCGTCCCAAGCAGGAACAACGCTTTCTTGATTCACGCTAGTTTTCGCTATGAGCTAGTAGACATGCTTTATACATTTCTATCTACACTTTTGATTTCACAGCACCTAAAAGGAAAACATTAGCACAATTAGGTCTCACTAAGAATTGTTCCTCGATAACAAATCCCTTTCATCTAAAAATATAGTTTGAAAAATCATGTAATTGTGATTGCAACTACAATTTGTAATTAGTTGTTAAGATTGCTGCTACATGATGTAGTTGCAGTTAGTAATCAGAAGTTAGATTATATTTTTCCCTACAACCAGACAGGAATAATAAAACAACAGCCATTCTAGATAAAATCAGTTTTATTTCAATAGCAGACTCCAAAATATTTATAGATGACGGAATTCACAGTGATCATCATGGCGTAGTACATAAGATGTCAATAATTCCACGGTTACATTGTATTGGCTTATTAGTTAGAGAGTCGCTCGTTATACTTGCCATACACCATATAATATTCTCCGAATGACGTCATTATTGGACGATTTTTATTGAATTAGACACAATATTGATAACGATACTATGTGTATGTTAAATTACCATTACAAGAATTCTTTTTCGCTAGTGCTGTTATTTATTGCACTTTAGTAAATGGTTATACATATAAACAGTATGATGTAGATACATTTTGCAAATAACCACAGAATAAGAGAATTAGTTAAACTACTAAATATTATTTATTAATCGTCATTTAATGTTATTGGAAGTATACGAATTGTTTTTACAAACATGTTGGTATTCTGTACCAGTACCAGTTGGAGAAGTCGAGTCATTTCAATATTATATTGTAAGGAATATCATTTTACTCAGAAACAGCATAAACATGTACTACATGTATTCATTAAGTAAACCTTAAGACAATATCAGTGTAACATTTATTATTTACATAGAGAATTGGCGTTTACACCACGTTTTGATAATACATATAATATTTATATGCGAATACAAGACTGACACGAATACATATGTATATATTTTTATTGGACGACTCTACAGACATATAAAGATGTCTTCAAAGTTCTAGAATAAATGTCCAGCAGTGGGACCTCCACAATACATAAATATAGTAATTCAATATGATATGTAACAATTACATTAGGTATATCATAATTATATCTATTAAAACATTGATTAAATATGATATTATATCGATATTTTCTACATATATTTATGAAAAACATTGAGACATTTTTATTGTTTACCTAACTAGATTTAGGCATCTAATATTAATATTTTAACATAATATTTGACTGTATTGAGCTGATTACTACATTTATATAAATGTTCACATAGAATTACTACTAAGTACTTATTTACCTATTGCTTAGAACTTCGAAACATGAAACCTTTTCGTTTGTATGTAGAGAAAAGCAAGTATACCTATAGAACAGCTAAATCATTTCGGTGGCATTTTATAATATCAGCTGAAAACGTATACAAATTATTTATTTCTACACAATATATCGGCATTCCTTAAAATGTACTGGATCTATCCCACGGAACATTCACAACATTAATGTTTCATTTCTAAGTACACATTAAAGACACCTGAGCCTTTTTAAAATGACGTGTAGAAAATCTCGCGATATTGGTTGACGCGAGTAACCTTGTCTTAGTTAAAAGTCGTACGGTACTTATGTACCTGGATATGTACTTATTAAACTTAGGATACTTAATAGTACACTATTGTATCGAAAAATTCAAGGATAAATATATAGCAATTTCGCTAAGTTTGGCATAGCGTATAATAATATATAATAACACATTATGTATGTTTGTCTCCAAACGTAACTACGATCCTACAGGCATACTCAGGGATTCTAGAAATGTTGGAGCTGAAAAGTAATTCAATTGTATAAACGGTTGTATTCCTTATACATACGAGATACATTAAAGCAATTATAAAGTCGGAGGTAATAACGTTGTAAGTAAATTCGTAAGTTAATATTACGTTACTGTGCACATACTGTTCATAATAACATCTTAGATCTTCTATATATCTGAATGCTACGAGTAACGTACGTTTTATACACATAAAGACATTTATATACTACCGTACGTATGATATCAGTTAATAATACATTCCCTCGACACTAGGGAGAATATATTCTGAATTAATACTAACGAGTTTCAACCTCGTTCTACGTTGTAACAGCACATACAAATTATTTAAGGATATAATTTTGAAAAGACACATAGTACACGTATTAATATCAAGTGCATTGACACAGAGAAAAATTCAAATAGAATAAAGTACAATTACACATACTATCAAATAGTAAAACGTGTTTCCAAAATGACGCCCTAAGTATTATTAGATATTAATGTATGTAATAAGTATACAAAAGTAGGCTACTGCACTTTTAAAGTACCTACTTTCATCACATCACAACGAATTCCTTATAGTAGGTATTCAATATAAGAATGTAAACATCAATTTTCATTAACAGACTAATTCGTTTTCTCAAAATCGATAACATTGAATACGTACCAAAACACCTACGGAACAGTCGTTTTATCAATTCACTTTTCGAAATAGCCAACAGCTCAAAAATGGTGAGTAGGTACCTCCAGCGGTACAATACATACTATAATAATAACATTTAATTTATATCTCCTACTGTCATAATAATATAACAAGAGGCATTTGTTGCCACAAAACAAAAATAACAATTTTAAATATCCAACACTTTCAATCCAAAAATATTACGTACCTATTGGTACATAAAGATTAGTTTCCCTTTAGTTACCAATCACTATACATCGATACATAAAATATATCATGTCATTTTATTGGCAGACTTAAGTCTGAAGTTTATTTATAACATTGATAGATACCACGTCGAAATGTAGTCGTTATTATCATGTTCCTACGTTACATCAATACGGTTCATCAATATCGAACATCAATACTACATATTATTATTCATATAACATTTGCTTGCAGCAAAAGTACAAAGTGTATACAATTCAAAATGAAATCAGACGATATGTCTTATAATTTATAATACAATATAATTATGTTTACAAGAGTTATATTATATACCAATTTACTTATCTGCACTACAGTAGTAATCCTCAAACCATTTTCATAAACCAGATAAGTTTTGTGGTAAGAGTTATTGAGTATATCGAAGGAGGTTTATAAAGGGTGCAGATAAATAAATTTCCACCCTGTACTAATCTAACATCAGTGTATGACACGCACGTTATACTTATATCTACAACGGTACTCATTCATTAGTTAATAATTACGCTTCACCGAAAAATGCACTTACATATCTCACTCCATTCCAATGTACCGCGGCTATCAATAATTAATACAATAAGTAACCAGTTCAAGGAGGTCTATAAACATTTGTCAAAACGGTCGGACCGTTAAATTTTAAGTTAGGACTAACGATATACTATTTACAAAATTACTCGAAGAAAGTGCATTTGCCAAAGAAAGGTCGTGTTCTTAAATATAATAAAGGTATAAGAAAATATGTTTTGTACAAGTCACAGAGATCGACAGATACATTGTTTTGTTCATAACTTATACATATACTTCCTGAATATTAATATGATTAACAAAGTTACGTTTGTCGTTAAGAGTATATAGAAATCGTTGTCAGAATGAGAAATCATTCAAAAATACATTTTGTTAATATAGTTTTTAAAATGTTTTCTTATAAAAGAGTATTTAAGCTCTGATTGACAATTTTCGAGCTCATTTCAAGCACATCTGTATGCTACTGAAATCATTTAAAGTAGTAATATAGACACACAGATATAGGACGATATTGATTATATTATTGTTCACGGCTACTTTCTGTTGACACAAATAACGATATAGACACATTAAGATCAAAACATTAACACTTACTAATAACGCTCAATATGAAATGAGAGTTTCGTACGATGGCTACTGCTGTGTATTTTCATTTAGTAGAACGACTATTTGATTCAAATATAAGTCCGATCATTTGTATAAAGTCAATATTATTAACAATTTCCTAGTTGGATGTACTCATAATACTATTTCTACTACTATCGAGATTCCATGATCTCGATCAAGAAAATGTTTCACCGACGTCAATTTACGAATAAACTTGTTTAAAACTTTACTATTATAGTACAACTCTAGCACTACACGCGAAAGAATATTGATTAAATATAATGTCACAAACATTATAGAGTTATACGAAGAAATTGAATATATTAAGTGTTTAAATCTAAAAGCTCTACGTTGTACGTGACGACATCTGGAATATTAAAACTGGCTGATACATTGATACTAAGTACCCTACTCAAAGCATTAACTATAACAGTGAGTCCATTTGATCTAACATCGACCACCAAGACAATTCGTAGAAGACATCGAATCATCCTTGAATATAATAGTATCGCCGCACGGCACTGCTCAGACACGGTTCACGCTGAACACCCACCATTTCTTTGACAAACGCCTCGTACCATCGTGGGAGACGTAACTTCACCGAGCGTTAGTGTTAGTATTGGAGTCGCTCTCGGGGCCATCATGGTACTCGTGGAAGCAGGGCACGATGCAGAGGTTGGTGCGGCACTCGGGGCAGTGGTACTGCGTCTTCCGCCGGAGGATCCTGCCGCACTCGTCCACGGTGTTCCAGCAGAAGTTGCAGCTGAGTGGCGGACCGGAGCGCACTGCGGGTGTGTGGCTGGCGCGCTGCGTCTGCGACGTGTCGGATGCAGTGGATTCAAACGACGCGGACGCCGACGTGGCCACCATCGCCGCGCTCGTTGCGCTCGCTGCACTCGTTGCGCTCGTTGCGCTCGTCGCGCTCGCACTCGTACTCGTCGAGGACTGTCGCTCGGCGCTAGACACCGCCCGGATTAACAGTGAACCAACTTCTTGTTCCAGTCGAGGCTTCCGTGTAAGAGTAGCCTGTAAATTCAGAACACCAACAATTTTAGTAACATAATAAAACTACTCTTAATTCTATATTATAATTTAAAACATTTGAGTACAATGGGCGGCCTTGTCTTTGGCTCTTGTTTGGCAACTGAAGTCATCGATACGTGTTTTATCAAAAAATTTCTTAATAACTGGTGACGTACATAAAAGATTTTCAATTTCCAAGGATAGTTTTTTTCACTTCTGGCGGAGTACGAAACAGCTTGGGTTAACTTAATCATAGCAAAAGAAAAAGGGTAGCATTTTATAATTTCGTCTGTTACGCTATAATTTTACCTTTGTGGCGCTGTACTGTGGGTAGGACTCGTGTTTCTGCAGCGTGGGCGCAGCTTTGGACACTGCGGCGGTCGGTGGGAGGGGTTCTGAAGTCTGCTTGCGAATGTTCTGTTCGTCGGGCACGCGAGACTGTCGCTTGAAGTGCTTGGTCCGCCGGTGCCAACCCACGTCCGAGTTCGCCGTGGCTGGAGCTACATCATTTGTTTATAAATCTTTATTTGTAAAAAGATAGATGTTTTAGATAAAATTTAACCAAAGCAGTGTAACATTGGCTCATACATATATAATATCTTTTTTGGTTGTTGCAGGTGTAGTCTAATGTTACACCAGCTTAGGTCTAATTTTACCAGACCAGAGATGTGACCTCAATTATCGATTTTTATACAATTATGTAATTTGTATGCGAAAGAGGTATGTAAGAATCGTAGCAATTGGTGTTAGTCTTAGCCTACACCCATTGGAGACAGGCGTGAGGTCATGTATGTATTTTGTTACGTCACAATAATCAGTTAAACAGACAAATGATTTGTAGCAGTGGGATTGTATTATGAAACTATATTGAAATACTATTCTAAGATACGTTTACATGGAGATAAAGTGAAACGACAACGGAAAAGAAATGTTGAATTGTGTAAAATAAGTATAAATAAGGTATATAATATTATTCCACACACTAGTTCAGTGAAGATAAAATATAGTTACGCTTATAACGTAAACTCTAAGGTTAAATCATGATAGATAGGATTTGCATAGTGAAATGCTGAATATTATTAGCAACTCCTAATTAGGCTTGTTGTGTACTGCATATGACATGGTGTTTAATACCAAAAATTCATTTTTATTCTAAGAATTGGAGCCAAAATATGAAGTAATATTCCTGGAACTCATCAAGTATTTTTCTTCTTATCCTTAAAGTAGCACATAAAGAAAGCCCACGGGGGTAGGGGGTAAAATTAAAATAAATGAAGTACAAAATAATCAAAATTATTTATTATCTATTTTGGTATAGAACAGTTATTATTAGTGCTAAGCACAAAATTCACAAATTTTGCCAGTAGGTATATGAACAACCTCATTATTTCGACAATCGTGAACATTGACTTCGGTTACTTCTATTATTTATTATTGTTACAAAAATATTGCTTTCTGTCTGCATTATAAGGCATCGAGTTAAGAAATATATTGAGAATACTTGCAATACTTACTGTAAATACAAGCGTATTGGTTGTTTTATTATGGTGGCGTCATGTCCACGACTGTCGACTTTTCTACGATCCACAATTATTTAATATAGTAATATACATTTTAATATTACTGATTATAATTACTATTTCGAAAAACACTGGTACATAAAACACTGTCTCGTATGTGGGTGTAATATTAGACAGACGCTAAAGATAAAATAAGATCTAAAATACTTGTTCGTTTCGAACTAAACAAATGAATACTGATACATTACAGTTTGTGATGTAAAATCATTGTAAATTGTTTACGAAGAATAAAAGTTTAAAAACAGCTGCTTTGTAATACATTTTATTACAAAATTTAATTCATATTAAAGCTGTCTTCATAAATAATGTCAAATGAAATTAAAATAATATTATCGATTTGATTCATTGTATTTGCGAATTGATAATCGCTATTTTATTGTATAAAATTCAGGAATATAATTACTTTCACCTGCCATCTACAGCCCATTCATGTACATTTATAATCTAAATAAGAAGTGTGGTATACATATAAGTAATAACCTAAAAATAATACTTGATCAACGTCTAACATCACCCACACATGAGGATTTGTAACTAAAACCTTTTTGTCTTCTGGTAACACATATTTCGCGGCCAATTACCTCTTGACCAACATAATACTTTGAAATCACCTTGAATGGCACTTATTTAATAAAACAGAGAGAAAATCAAAATAAACGCGAGAGCAGTTCCTTCTCTATAATCTGAACACTAAACGAAGAGGAAAAAAACAGTAAACACAACAATACATCGATACTCCAACGCTTCACACATAACTTGATCCATTTATTAATATGGACTTAGTTACCTATATAGTGTTCAATACTTAGGAGCTTTTGCCCATTAAAAGATTAGAAACATATGGCGGTTTATTTTAAATGTATAATCACCTAAAACATTGCATATCGAATACTGTTTGCATACATACTTATTATAAAAGCCCTAATTCCAGATTATAGAGTTCAGTGTCATTATTATTATTAGAAAACATTTACTTTCCATTTCTGAGCAGTCTTTCGAGATACATGCTATTCAGAGCAACATTCAGGGATACATATTCAATTATATACATATTATATTTACAATTTGAATGACCTCCGAAACGAAGCAGCTATGTTGCCAGCCTAAACGAGAAAACTTTCTAAATTATTTTAAAAATCAGTCAAAATCATTATAAAAACAGAGATCGCAAACGCCGAAACTGGTTATTATCGTTGTAAATCTAGGCGAATATAAAAATATAATACTCCTTAATTGATTTAAAAAAATAAAAAGTAATACTTCTAAATGACGTTAGTAACAAGATCACGAATTGTACTCGCGTGCGGACCGACTGTCGTCATAAGCAACACGGCAGGTAACAGCTACAAGTAAACAATAAACCAATCAAATTGAACAAAGTGTTAAGGAACATTGAATTCGAGCACAAAAACTCCAAGATATGTAATATAAAATCAACAAATTATGAAAGAGCGAGACAGCTGCTAGCCAGTTGCATCTTTCTTTATCCAATGCGGCGTCTTCTAGCCAAGGATTCTTACACCAATATTCAACTTATTGCCGTATATCGAGCTCAAACAGACTCAATGTTATTATTTATTGAGAATTCCTGATAGATCATAATAAAATCACATTCAATATGTATATGGTAATGTGACGTTAAGCTTAATACTACAATAATGAGGAGTAGGCACAGTGATATAACAGTACCTAAGTATAACCTGCGTAACAAAGAAGACATGAATAAATCGTACAACAATTATATAATAAACGACAAGTTCCGCTCGCGAGACAACCTACATGTTACGTCACGGGCACCGCTTATGCCTAACTAGTAACAGTAACTTACCCTATAAATGCATAATGATCTAATACCTAATTATTTTACACGATAGAGATCTCTGGTAATATTGTTCTTGTTCACGCGAGATGTGTTGTCACGCCAGGCGTACCTCGGCGCGGCACATCCACGCTACATGTAACGCAAACATCACGTACAAAAGATATGTGCAATTTTATCAGTCCAACGTAAATGCAAAAAGGTTATGAACGTTTTCATGTATTACTATTACTACTGGCATCTCATATCACTGGCTGTTATTCATTATTAAAAATATAATCATCATTCCATATTAATAATTGTATAAATCAAAAATCATTATACATAATTGGTGTTTCATCAAAATTCGTATAATAAAAGTTATACAACCGAAGTGGCGGTGTGTTTCTTTATCGTATGAAACCTGATAAATAAAGAAATAAAAAAATAATAGTAAATTCTCCTGGAATATTCATAATATAAAATAATTGGATGTACATATTTGCACGAGAAGTACGCACAAAATGAATCATAGCTAACATGATTTTTTGGGTTTTCTTGACCTACTATTATCGTACCTGCACACTACAGTTTGTAGGCGTGAGGTAGCAAATCGTCATTATAAAGGATTATAGGGAAAATTGTAAAAACTTACAGCTACACTAGAAACTTTGATCATCAATCAAGTGATTACGTTTGCCCAAACGGCTATATGTGTGTAATTATGTATTTCGTGTAATACGAGTGACCTATCTACTGAGCACATGCGAACACAACCCTACTGAGAACTTCGCCCTCCCTATGGCTCGCCACGGCCAAGCCACACGTAACAGATACTTCTTTACATTACTACTTTGCCGACACACCACCACACTTTCAAAATAATAGTATGAAAATCACACTATAGGTACTTTGATTTAGGTGACTACTGAACGAATTTATAAAACATACATATTATAATATATACACATGGTTTTGTAATTGCTACTTCAAGGAGACGACAAGATAATTAGTAGCCCGATTTAAGAATTGCACCGTTACTTCAACAATTTTAAGGATATTCAATAAATAGGTAGTAACGTCCTATTAACAAAGACTGCAGTCTTTCAGTGATCCAGTGAATATCCCAGGAAGACTGATAGTTGTAGCTGTGATAACTATTTTAAGTACTTTCAAAATAATGTTATTTTATTAAATGGTTTTGGAAGGATCACGTCTTTTATTTGTTGAAGTAATACACACTTTAATATTTTTCCAGAACGAACTATTTGTAATCAGAAATAATTATATCACCAAAGTGTCAGACTCGTAGAAAATTCCTGCGGCATTTAGTCCACCCATGTACTGGTTTGTGTACATTAAAATTGAGATTTAAAAAAAATGCTATGCGACATTGTTTTTTCATTTGTCCTCCTTGAAATACCATTTAACAAACCAACAGTCTATCATTAAAATACTTATAAATAGAGGTAGTTATGAATAAAACTGTGTGTAACCTGCCACTCAGAACTTACAAACTAAATCTTTGCATGCCTCTCGATACCCCACGAACTTGTTTACCACAATAGCAGCACATATAATAATAGCCCAATTATTCATATTACATGTCTATTGTATGTATGCACGTCAAGGTATAAAAATGGTGTAAAAATAGTTCAAAATATCACCAGCTATGTATGTAAAATACAACTGTTGAATAACAAGCTATGAGACGCGAGGGCATTGAACTTGCTCACTGGTATACATCCACCCATGACGAGCCAACTCGAGCAACTACAACGTTACCGTGGCACTTGGCGAGTATCGATACCTACTAACACTACACTAACAGTGGTACGCTTGCTTAGTACGCGTGAATTTACTTAATTATATCTAGTCGACCCACCGTCATATCCCTACATAGATACAATGACACAACTAGCTGCAAAAATATGTTTTGATATGGACTAATACGTCGATACACACCCGTATCGTTACGCCAACTAATTCAAAGTACCGTAGGTTATCATTATTAATATTATTGCAAGAATAATGACGAACTTATTGAAACTGTGTCTCCAGTGTTGCAACCAAAGCGGGAGTTACACAATAATAAATTCGCTATCACATTCGATCCGACGACTATACATAACACTACGGCTTGTGCACTATATTAATTGTAAAAAACACTGGTTTACCGAACAGTTTATAACTTACGGTCCTATTGAGATCTACAAAATACGTTTTTTTTTTCATGGCAATTCTACGGCTGTGGCGCTTACCTTGTCAGGGCCATAAAGAACGTGTGAGGCATCAATTCATTAATGTATATAGTAAACATTGATGTTACATAAATTGCTATTTATTACAGTTTCAGGGCACAACGATTATTGCATAATTATATGTTTTATCGTTAGTTTCAAATCGTTCTTTAGGACCCATCAAATCGTGTCGAACTCGAGTGTGTGTCGTCACTACACCACAAAAATGCGTAAAAATCCGTTTCGATATAAAATGGAAAACATTGCTTTTATTTTATTGCCTATACTACAACGACACAACCCAGTCACAATACCGTTAACTTACAAATCCATATACCAGGCCATTCTATAAGCCACTCAAGCATCCCAATATATGCAGCAGTACTTAATCGATGCAACCGTTTCAGTTCCGCAAGATATATGAACAGTAAGTGAAGACCTGTAAGCCCACAGCCAAACCGATAGTAAGTACGTTACGTGTTCGAACTAATATTTACAACGCGAGATGCATGTACAAGTGCTCATAGCGCGGCGGCGCGAGGGCGGCATGCGAGGGCGAAGGCGCCATGTAGGGCTGGTGGTGCCCATAGTCCGCGCCTTGCCACTCGTGTCACAACGAGTACGACTCGTCCGCTGACACGCCGCAGGCCGCGTTCTATTGCATTGAGTTGAAATTCACTCCTAGAATGTTGAGAGGAGAGTTGTGCGCCACGCCCTGCAAGGGGAACCCATGCGCGGCGTTGGACTCAATGAACCCGGGCGGCACTTGATGCTGCGGGCACACCAGCGCCATCTGTTGCTCTGGCAGTTGTTGCTCCTCCTTGTGTTCGGGAGGCGGCGTCGTGTGCTCGCGTTTGATCCTGCTCTTAATACTGGGCCTGTTATTCGGGTATCCTTTTTTCTTATACTCGAGCCATAAGGTCCTATTGTTAACACCGAACATACGAGCCGCCTTACAAAATCCTATTCCTCCGAAACGCACAGCCTCTAAAGCCCTCTGGAAGTTCTCCTCAGACTGTGGGTTGGTAGTTCGTCGTCGCTTGGGGGTGGGCGTGGGGTTGGGTTCCTGTGCTGCTTGCACGTCGACGCAGGAGGGGCCGGGGGAAGGTCCAGCCACGCCGAGGCTCTGACCGTAGTTGATGTCGCCGTCCATGTGCGGGTTGATCACATTATTGATGTACATGCCAGGGTCCTGCTGCAACGCGCCCGCCCCTAAGCACGCGTTCGTGTACCGCGGATACGAATGCTCCATCATAGTCCATTGGCCTCCTGGGAAGAGAGATAAATGTACGTATTTTAATAAAACTCTCTAGATACAGTATAATATTTCTGAGTTAAAGTTTAAACAAACGGTTTCTCATTGATCTCCCTTCCCTGGAAAGTAAAACGTCGCCCGGTTATGTAACGATTACGGTGGGCTTCCTTTATTATGCTTTATGTATTTTTTTTTAATTGAGACATTATTTCTCATTTTACCTACGTATTATAGTTACACCAATTTTTTGTTTATCTTTATTGGTTAAAAGCATGTAATAGATTTTATTTAGTAGAATGTACCAGTGGACGTGCAAGGTGAGTTGAGGCAGGGTCCACGTGGCACAGGTAGTCGGTAATCACTATCTACGTACAGCACGGTGCATGCGCGAAGTACATACATAAAGCATAGAGTAGAAGCAGATGATTGTTACGGTTTAGAGATGAATGAGAAACGGATGATGTTTAATACTTTTATTTTGTGAGATATTAGTGCTTGATGTCTCCTCCGTAAAATATTTGTCTATGTTTTAGCACCTCTAGACTTAGTTTGATGCAATATTTCTGTAATAATGAATTTCACTTGTATGGTGACCTTTTTGTAATTCAATTTGATAATTTCATTACTAATTTGCGTTAAGTAAATCTGAACCATACCATATTTTCGTAGTTACGAAAAGATTTGAGAATTTAGGCCAATCATAGTAATATTATACGGATATGTACGTAGACGAGATCATCATAGACATTAATGACTCATAGGGTGCTGCCACACTGTCGTTGCAAATGACCACAAACATTCGTATATTCTAAAATCAAATAACCCGTAACTAAAAGACATTGTGGGAGTGCCATTAATCCATTATGTTTCAAAAAGGAATTAATTCTTACAGAGACGCAATGTCTTCTTGTTGCACAGGTGCGAATCGAAAAAGATGATTGAAAACACGAAAAAGAATAAAGAAAGAGGGACAATGAGCTTAGTACATGTTTCCAGACATATTATGATAATAACGAGAACGCAATGATTTTGTAACATATACAATTCTATTATTACAATATCATCTTTTATTAGTAATATTTCTTGCGTTGTATTGTTGGAATAAGGCGATCATTCCATTCACGTGTAATCGATAAATTATAATTGAAAATACGTTATCGCTGTCCAGGAATATGTACTGAAATTATAGTCCACTATATCATGATGTAATTCCGCATTACGGTGATAACAATAAAGCTGAAAATTGCAGATTGACGGACTGGGAAGGGTTACGAAAGAGTTCTATAGAAAATTCTCTAAGAACATACACGTACATACCTAACATACCGAACATTGGAAACATTTGGTGAAACAGACATCTAATAGACAAAAAGACATTTAGACAACATTAAAAGCTACGACGGATCACATTTACTATTCGCATAGAGTAAAAAATAAAGGGTAAACAAGTAGAACTAAAAATTAATAAAGATGAATGACAGAGTCGATGTGTGATGGCGATAGATGCAGTGGAAAGTGACGGGTTTGTAATAGAAGGTATCTGACATCTCACGGTTACAGTGTGATGGGGCTTGCAACCCCGAAGCGTTGCAAATGTCCATGTGTTGAAAAGCTTCTGTGTAGGTACACAGAATACTGAATGAGAGCTATCGATTTTTCACTCACCAGGTGGCACCACTGGCGAGTAAGGTCCTGTCAGCCCAATCACTGTCGCTGTCAAAAGTTTAGTTACCAATAGAATGACAGACTATCGGCGTATAACCTAGCCTAACTAATTGCTTTAGCGCTCCTAATTGCAAATTCAGACGCAATTAGCTCTGTTAGAACAACGTCTTAATAGCAATTTGACGTTTTATTCATCAAATCATACAAACAGTGTAAATATTGTACGGCGACACTGTCTTATTTCGTACCAACAGATTAAAAACGTTATCGTCAACAGACTGTCAAGAAATAATACTGTATTAGGCTTTTATTCTATTAAGGGATTAAATTTAATGACAAACATTTTTTTTCTATTAATAACGAATTAAATTTGAAAGGGCTTTACAAGGAGTTAGATAACACAAATTATTTGTAAGCCATCACACAAAGACTAAATTATGATTTGTTACCTTGTGGTATCGCTGTGGGTGTGTTCTCTAGTCCAATCTGCTCAACATTCAAGTCCTGTTCCGTGGTCTGAAATCATAGGGAAATATAAAATGAATTATTATGTTTTCGTCTTACTCACGTAACTGTTTGACGAGGATGGATGAAAGTAGAGTAACGAAAGAAGTATACAGAGCGGATATGAATGGAGCCGTCGGTAGAGGGCGCCCTAGACGGACATAAAGTGACCAGATTGGCGATATATTAAAGAAGGGCCAAATTAAAAGTACCCTTAACCGACGAGCATGCATGTAAAGATTGATGACTGTTAATGAAGCGAAAGAGGTATGTAAGAATCGTAGTAATTGGCGTTCCTTAGTCTCTGCCTACCCCCATGGGAGACAGGCGTGATATTATGTATGTATGTATGTTTGACGAGGAACTCGACTAGTTTCAACCAATGCTAGACTCATATTCATGAGCAGCATTCCGCGATACGCGACGCGGCAACCATCGCGCTGCTACTGGAGCGCGACAGAGTAACTATTACATTTTCCCCACAACGAATTGAGACTGACCCCCATTATAACAAATGATAGTCACGAAAAGAGCTTTCTAACGATATATGTCTGATCGTTGTGGTCGCCAGGTACATTTTGTCCTTCGAAACAGAGATTATGGTCTGGCATAACACCTATTATGCTACTTTATAAATCCCACGGGTACGCGAATGAAGACGCGAGGAACACGCTGGCAGAAGCCAGTTCTTAATAAGATATTGATTTATAGCCTCATATTATAAAGAACTCATAACAACTGGTAAAAAACGGGTGTCATTGTGGTGTGTGCACCCCTGTCTACGCATTCAGTAACTAAAGGGGTAGCGCCTTTTCACACCGGGGTAGGCTATATGTCATTGAACAAGTAAACTAGCTATAAAAATATCTTTATCAAACTCAAGTACTGAAAACTTAAAAGGGCATTAAACTTTAAAATTATAGTAAAGTATAGGTTCGGGTCAATAATAAATAAATAATTCAATTAAAACTAAAAAAAAAATAAAATAAAAAAGGATTTACTGACGTCGTCTACCTGTTGCGAATTGTCGATGGTTCTAATTTCGTGGTATTCGCGCATGCGCCGTTGTTGTGGCACGCTGCTTAACGTGATCGCATTCGCATCTACCGTCTGAGCGGCGACGTCAGCGCGGCCTTGCTCGTTTTCTACCACGTTTAGTGAAGTAGAACCACTCGAACTTTTCCTTCGCCTGAAAATTTAATACACCCATAATTATTTGCATCAACCTACTCAAATAAATCTCGACTTGTACTACTTTGACGAAAACAAATAAAGTTTAATACTTATTGAAAACGGTTTGGCAATTTGGTTCGTTTATTTTTTATTCCTTGTATAAAAGATGACGTATCTAAGCAAGATATTCCATGGTTATTTAGATACGAATTATTAATTAAGAACTTTGTTTCATACCGTCTGCGCTTGTTGGAGGGAGAGGCAGCTGGTGATTGCCTCTGTGAGTCCATGGAGTCGCCCTGGTTCTGGAACTCGGCCGAAGTGCCCTGGGACCGTGTTAGTGACGTGGAGTCTGGCATCTCCGTCAAGCCCTTTATTTTTAAAAGTTTGGCTGTGTCCAGGACCTACAAAAGATTACTTAAACCTTTATTTACTTGTATAATAAACTCTATTTTCCAAATCAAATAACTTTTCTTATTAGTCAAGAGTAGAAGCCTGATGAACAAAAAATCTTATAGAATTCAGTTTCCTGAGTTCGCAAAAGTGTTAAATTAGTAAGGGTGGACTTAATTTCAAATGGAATTTTCCATCATCCATATTCTATCTGATTATGTTCATTACTGGTAAAACAAAATCAGTACAACTTGAAGGCTAAATGGCAATGAAAACGAATACACTAATATAATATTTTGTAATTTACATTGTTGATAACACCTTGCTCACCTTGGGCAACTGTTCCTCAGTGACGTTCACCTCCCCACAGTACATAAAGTCGACCATAGTGCGCAGGTCGGCATACGTCACATCCTTCAGAATGACTATCGGATGTGGAGACGGATTGTCAACGAACAGCGACTGGAAATACAAAGCGGGAAGTTATAATTTGTGATGGAATTATTTTTCTAGAAGCCAACTCTACTATCATAATTTTGTGTAGTATTTGTGAGTATGTAGACTGCCTCGTTGGCCGAGTGGTCGCAAGTGGGACTGCCAGGACAGGGTTCTCGAGTTCAATTCTTGGTTCGGGCAAAGTATTACGGTAATTGTGCCTGGTACTTGGCAATTGGCTCACCCCCTATTACATGGGACTCATAACATAAATAGTGAAAAGTGGGTTATAAATTGTACAGTGGCCTTAAGTGCCGTAATGTGCACCTCTGCCTACCCCTTCGGGGATAAAAGGCGTGATGTTATGTTATGTGGCGAAGTCGCTGGCAGAAGCTAGAATATTTGAGTTATTCCCTGCTGTCCCTGAATTGAGCTTTGGGTAGGTTAGGCCAAAATAAAAATTCTGCTTTGACTTTTTTCACTAAACAATAAAGGGCCATCAACATACGACCTGGTCGAAACGTGAAACAAAAAATACTTATATAAAAAGCAGTTACCACAAAACCTATGGGTTTTTTTAAAAAAAGTGTGAAATGGGTTATCAAACACAAATATAATTTTTCAAATCGAACCAGCACTTTCTGAGATTTACGCGTTCAAATTGTACAGCTTTACATATTAAGTAAGTCATCATCATCATCAACAGCCTATAAATGCCTACTACTGAGCAAAGCCTCTTCTCACACGGAGAAGGTTTGATCACTACGCTTGCTCAGTGCGCGTTAGCGATATTAGTTTGTCAGTGGTGTCTAATGCATGAGAAGCGGGCGTATTAAACATCCGGGCCTCCAGGACATTACGTAAGCCTTACTTACGTAATGTCCTGGACTGTAGATACAGATTATGCATTACGACAAAGTAATAAACGATGACAAAAAGAAATGAATGTAAGTATGATGGGCAAACGGTTCCACGATAGTGCTCTGATGCAGTAATGTGCACTATAGATAAAAAACGTGCCGACGCAATATTTTCATGTTAAAGCAAGCGCTAGTACAAATGGGTTCCTTGGTTTCTTTTTGTAAATAAACATAGTGCTCTTTGGAAATTGTTACCCGTTTCTACTAGACCATATTGTGCGCTGATGTTCTCAGAAGTGTTTGAGAACCTTTTGAGGAAAGCGCAGTGTTTTAAAAATTTTCCTAAGTAAGAAACGATATACAATCTAAACGTTCGTCGGATATTCAAGAAGTGAGGATTCTGCTGTATCATGAGAAGCACGACCGGTACGGTCTCGGGTTCAATCCCAGGGACGGTCCATTGAGAAAATCGACATTATTTGTTATAGTCCGGAGTTTGAAACTGCGGCTGGTGCTTCTATTGCAAATCAAAAAGAGCCTTATGTAGCCCTTATCTGCACATATGACATAATGCAATATTCTTGTCGTAATTTTTATTTTCGCTTCCAGAATCGGACTAATTCTAATCTTTCTAAATAAAACTTATGTAATTTTAATATTATCCATATAAACTACGACATACTCACTTGGAAATAAGTACTGCACGCAGATAAAACAACTTTATGTGCGAGCAGTTGCTTCCCATCAGCCGAGAGAGTTACGTCCACGAGAGTTTGAGTATTCAATAGGGTCGTGAACATAGATATAAAGTTCGGCTGGTGGTTATTCCACCGTAGACTGTACTGCTGCGACATTTTGGAGTCCTGGAACAAGTAAGACAAATAATATCATTGTTAATATCATAATGTTTAATAACATTATTAGGAGAAGGGGTTGAACTTAACTTATTTCCTAGTAGTAGAGGATTTCCTCTAAATATGTTCTTTAAAAATTGATTTGAATGCAGAATTGGTTTAGAAGTTGAGAAACAACTCTTCGCGAGCTCCACAAATTGTTGTCACGGATACGTGTGTCATACATTTGTATTTGTAATCAATAATCACACTCATTATCATCTTAAATAAAAACATATTGGAATACCTATTGAACGAAACAGCATATTATTCAGCCTATTCAGCATATGAGGTTTACTTAATACTGTAATACCCAATAATTTTATAAAAGAGTCGTACATTTACTTACAACATTAGTTCCACAGATTTATTACTACGAAAACAATAAAAAAGGTATGAGTGGAAGATATCTGAAAAGTTCCGTTTCGTATTCCAAATGACAGAAGACTTACTAAAATCGAGTGAATTAATTTGGTGGCTTTAGGTAACGTTTGAAAAGGAATTTGTTCAGATGGAGTTCGAACAATGGGCAGGTTGCGCTCAAAGACAGCATTTGGAAAACCAATTATAGTCTGTCCAAGGATTGAATGCATGAGGTATCCCGCTACCCGTATACGTAGAGTCCGCGATGAAACTTTTCCGAGTTCGAATCGGAGATGTTACGGATATCACATTCCGGATCTAGACACAGACATAGGCTTTTTTGTCCGTTTCACATACCAGATTATTAAGAATTTCGGTGACGGTTGAAGAATTAAAGTAAAATACAAAGGACAATGCCAACTATGTGGCATTTCAATATAGTCATACTAAATATCTAAAACAAGTTTCATTTGCGCTAAACTTAAGTTTTTTTTTTTAAATTGTCCTTATTAAGTGGATTATCAAAGATTAATCATATCAAGTCCCATTTATTCAGCTCATATTGTCAACAACTTCGATTACGGTTCCATAATATCTTTAATAAGGATATATAACATTATACTCTTCTATAAAAAATATTACCGTATCACTCAGATGTACCACTCGGTATTCATCACTTTTGAAAGGCTTTTGCGATTATTACACACCATGACTAAAAATGTTTTCTGGATACAACTTAATTATAACTTAATTTTGACGTTTCGAGTGCTTTTCAGCATTCGCAATAACAAATAGACTGGTGTGTTACATGTCTAATTAAAACTGACAAACGCCTGAAAGGTCAGTATTAAAATAACTGCAAAAATAAACAGGTGGTGATACAGAATCTCTTTTAAAGTTAATTCAAGCTTAAACTAAGCTGTATCGCATAAAGTCTTACAAAACGAATTAATGTCTGGTGTCTAATTAATGAAATTAGATGAAGTCCGAGCTACGTGGAAGTAACAAGTACGGAGCGCGTTAGTAATCAAACAGCAAGAAACTGCAAAGATAGAGGTAAGAGGTCCCGTACTTACTCTATTTCTTACAACAAAGTTTTAGTAGATACCAACTAACGTAGAGTTTGTGAATTAATCGGAAGAATGCACTAAAATATTTATCAATAATACTGACCTTAATTAAAACAGAGTCAGAAATAAAAAAGGTGACGTAAAATCCGATTTTCGTAGGTGGAACTATCTACCGCATATTTGCACGGACCAAATGCCAATAGCATTGCTATGAGCAGAAAGGGCCCGTATAATTAACCTGCCAATCAAACAGTACGTGCACTCGTAGGAGAATTATGCACTTCATTATTCACTCAATATATTTTCATTTTACTTTTAATTTCGATGTCAATAGCCGAAACTGGAATTACGTACGACCGAATCGTAATTAATTTTACTGCAGCTGAACTCAACATGTTTTAACTCGTCGAGTACCGGTTTTATAGACACAATTAAACTGTCAAACACCAAGCGGTCACCGGTGACCGCGACCTATTGTTCTTTAATTGTGTCTATAAAACCGGTACTCGACGAGTTAAAGAACAATAGGTCGCGGTCACCGGTGACTGCTTGGTGTTTGACAGTTTAACAGATGATTTCGATGGTATTAAAGATTGAAAAATAAAAATAACGGGCGGTGTAAAAATATGTCAGACTTCTCGCATTTTGTTTAACCCGTGAATATAAATTGAGGAAGTCACTGGTGTTAAGAGACTGGCATCAATATTTATTTGGCACAAAACACAATACCTAACTGAAAAGAAAATACGGTTATTCGATCAAAATAATGTATCGAGATTGAAGATTATGTTATCCCAAGTTGCGAAATCAACGACAACTGAATAAGGAAAAACAAAGTTTTTAAAATAAGATGCAACATAAGTGGACACAAATTTTCTCTCTTAACTTAAAATTTCAGCTAAGTTTTAAATTAAGTAATACACACAATATATTATTATATTTATCCCGTACACGTAAAAACAAACCCTATAGCGTTCATCATTAAGTGTACAGTTACACCACTCTAGCGGTGAGTGGTCAGTCTTGGTTAAACTTCGATAAATACATAGGACAAGTCCTACCACTTATTAGATAGACGTACTCTAAGACAATAGGTCAGTACCGGTTTGTAAACTAAGTTAAGTGATTGCAGTCATTTATCTTCACAATTTATTGGTTCACGTGCATCGGTAGCAATACGTGTCCCTTTTAACTTGGCATAACATACCGTGTTATGTAGTTACGTCGCTGCGACCTACTTCAGCACTGTTCCCAGTAACTGAGCCTGAAACTACAGCTTAACTAATTTATGATGGATGGAACATATTTATTGACTTTTATTTTCTCTATTGTTAGTACTTTCTAGCTGACCTGGGAAACTTTGATTAGCCTAAAAAATTATTATCACTATTATTAGATATTTATCACCTTTTAAGCCTTTCCTGGACTTCCACGAACATTTCAAGACCAAAATGGCCAAATCGGTTTAGTCGTTCTCGAGTTTAACTAACGCGAGACTAAAAAACTGAAATTCGTTTTTATTTAGATTGACTATAAAATATGGTACATAAAAATAGGGAAATAAACAAATAATTAGGTACGTACAACTTGAAATAAAATAAAATAATAGAACATAGGATAACTACCCAAAAAGGCTTGCTTGACTAATCCATTGACATTTAAGTATTATTATTGAATTACATGGGTTAAAAAAGGTGTTCTAGTGAACTTTCAGTCGTCAGTCACTGTGCTCGAACTTACAAATACACGTATTTATCTTGGCAATAAAACTTTGCTGTTTCTTTGACGTCTCATTGAAAATCCCCACAACCATAGTCTAACAAAATAATACAATTACATATATAAGTTATGTATCTGTTTGCTGCTCATTTAAGCTAAAGTTACTGCGAGTTAAATAGGTACTAAATATAGAGTGAAACTGAATATAACGAGCAAACATTCGAAGCGCATCCTTTGACTATTGTTGTAAACACGAAACAAACAAAGTGTTCCACTGTTTGCTAGGTTTAGCGTAACAAAGACATACAAGAGCATGTTATCGGGGATTTGAATCAACAGTGACCTATGCAAAAGCCTATATTACTTGAAAGCATAATACAATAGGCTCTACAGTCAATAATCCTTTGTGGAAAACTAGGTTACATCCATGTTTATTTTACAACATTGTCAATCTCAATCCCAACCTGCATCATCGACAACTTTTTGTTCAGAGTTTAAGTATATACTTTTTACTAATGGTCGACCAAAACTGGTTTTCCGGCCGAAACAGAATCTTCGGCCGTGGCTTCAATTTCGTTGGAAACCGAAACTCGCGTAGTCAAGTATAAAATTTCTTAAAATCCTACAATTGGGTGCATTTTACGTGTATATATTTTGCATTAAAACTTATGTAAATAGTTCATTCAAGACATAACCTCTAAAGAATTTTCACGCACACGCATTAAGTTTTGTTGCTATAGAGCTATCCGAAAGGCGCACAACCATTACCGCACAGATCCGACAGAGTCCATCAAAGCGTTGCCGCGGGAAACGAAGTTAGGCGAGCGAGAACGTGTGTGAACTTTCGACATTAGTTTCGACCGATTTTGGCCGAAACCGAAACTGCCTCTGAAACTTGATATTTGGCCGAAATCGAACTTTCGGTCGGACACTACTTATTGCTTTACTTTTTTATAAAGGGCATAAATTTTATTAAAACACAATTTAAAACACACATTAAAACTATTTACAACACAAGGAAAGGAAAAAATATATAAATATGTACAACTTAAGATACACTATAACTAAAAGATGTAAAATAAATAAAAGAAAACTAAACTTACTTTACTTTACATTTTAACTTCGATTGGACGTTCCATGTATGTTACGAGCTATTGGCCCATTAATACGCTTCCAATAACGTACTTATTTGAATAGAAATAGATTATAGCAGACGCATGTGGAGTAGAATAGAGCACTAGACCACAATCTAGCAATCTAAGTTACACTGTACACATATCTTATTGATTGCGTATAAAAAAATCCTTAAATCTGATGAATTTTGAAGTCATACAACTAAGTTTGTTGTTGCAAAATGTTGGAAAAACCTACAGTTATTTGGTAAAGTGTCGGATAGACTTCACTATCACACTAGACATAAGAATAAATTAAGTCAGCCAATTTCGAGATTAGCGAAAGTAAGTAAGTCGTTCATGGGATTCTGTGTTAAATGTTATTATAATAAGATACCAGGCGATGTACAACAACTAAATGAATCCAAATTTAAATTATGTATAAAGAAAACTTTATGTAGCAAGCATATTACAAACTTAATGAATATATAGAGGATAAAAATGCTTGGATGCAGGCTAGTCCGACTCCACAGGATAACTAAAAACACTGTTGTTTTAATGAAATCGTAAATAATACAGTCATATTGCTAAATTGCATATTGTTTAAATTAGATAACATAGATTGTAAATGTGAGAGCCCTGTAATTAACTTAATATTAAATTAGATTAGTAGAATTCATTTGTGTCAGAGCTTGGA